TTTCAGGATCAAAGTCCCTTTATCAGGCTCTGGGAAAAGTATAGATGGTACAAGATGGTAAAAAGTCCCCATAGGTAGGAAATAAACTTCATTTTTGCACAGAGGGAGCTGAAGATGGAAGGCTGTCCCTCTGGGCCCATGAGGATGTCTTTGTGAACTGCGCTGAGTAGTTTTTTGATGTGTAGATCAGGTAGAATTCCTTCCCTGGAGGTATCAGATGGCAGGCAGGGAGGTAAAAAATCTTTCTTGTTGTTCTGCAGTGAAGTTTAAAATCTAAAATCAGCTAAAATTCGACATCTTCCATGTTTCAGGGGTGTACTTGGTAGCCACATTGGTACCATTTTGGAACCAAGAGTTCTAGTTTTTTGTATGTCTTCTTGTCTCAGACCAACATGGCTACCAAGTACACCCCTGAAATGTTGTCACAGAGTTTTATGCACAACTTGTAAAAAGTGCTGCCCTTACTGTTTTCCAGGATCATATAACCTGCCAGGAAAGTTCATGTTGTATACTTGGGATGCGAGACAACTCTTGGAAGTGTGGGCATATATAGAATTTTGAAAAGGGGGGTGCAGATGGTATGGTACATCATTACATATTATATAATGCATGTTTTTCTCCTGGTAAAAAGAAACTAGAAGCTTTACTAATATGCTAGGGACCTAGGGCTATAGTTTTCAGTTTAAGATTGAAGCAAAAACAAATGTAACTTTTAGAACATGCATTAACTTGTTATATCACACAGTGTATGTTAAAAACCAAAACAAGATATGCACAAATAATCAAAAGATGTTGTTTCTTTAGTCCTGTAGTTATTAAAAGGTAAATGTACATCTCTTGTTCAGACTCATAAAAGAAAATCAGGCTTTCTTGAGCATTTTAACAGTTCATCCAATGTTTTGCTGAAAGTTATTTTCACACCTAGGCTAATGTTTCCAAACTGGAGTTAATGATTTAGCTAGAGTTAAAAACAGTCTTCAGGGCTGGAAAATAGGAGCTACATTACCAGGAGCAGCTACCACACAGGAAAATTGCAGAAGAAAGAATGGCTTGATTAGTGGAACACGAAGACTACTGAAGAAGGAGAGAGGGTTGTTAGCATCTGTGGAATGAAGAATTTAAAAGGAATCAGGTGGATTATAATGAGCCATGACTCAGTTGACTCCTGCACTGCTGCCTGAATAGAAATGCTGCTGCCACTACCAGGCAGTTTGTTTTAAGCCTTGGATGGGCCATGAATCAAAGGGGGTGCAACTGCACCACTGCATGCTCCCCTGACTCTGTTCCTGTTTGGTAGTAAAATCATTCTGAAAATCTCTTAGGCTGTCTCCTTTTCTGTGGAGAAATATCAACAGTTCAGGTTATTTCAGTACAAAGATCAAGACTGCCTGCTGCAGCAGGAGTCCTGATATTGGGGTGAGCACTCACTCCTGCTTAAACAATTGATTGGGCTGCATCAAGCTAGAGCTTGTCCTCACCTTTCCCATATCCTTTACAACGTGATTTCCTACAGCTTCTTTGCCGCCTTAGCTGTTCTTTGTTACAGTGCTCTTTAATCCCTGTGCTGCCAAATTGTCTGCTGCTTCCAAAACAACACTTTTACTTTCTTCCCATATATATCCATGCAGAATTAGCCTCTTCTTCAAATGCCTTCTACAAGCATGTGAACTAACGAAGACTGGGCCAAAAGCTAGGACAACTAGGGGATAATGGGATTAGGCTGGTTTAACGTATGATTATATTGCTTCTCTTGTATGCTGCTCCTTTTCGTCAATTGTGAACTCTCTGGCAGGGATTGTATGTTACTAAACTTGGAAACCAGCTAGCCGGTTGCCTCATCGGAGCTATTCCAGTGGGAGGAGGAGGTTAGAACAATGGCAGTCTAATAATAAGAACAGCAGTGAGCACCCTCTCTGCAGCTGAGCCCTTGTGTTTGGGTCCCATTCTGATTCCCATATTACTTGCATATAACTGCTCTATGTAGCTCAGAACTTAATAATGAAGGCAGATACTAAAAGGGAACGTTGGTGATTATATCCTCCGGACAAATTAGTTTATTTAAAACTAATTATTAGAAATTAATTAAAATAGCTAGCCAATTGTGAAATATAATGACCAGGATGAGGAGCAAAATTTTATATAGCAATGTTTTCTGTATCCTGAAACTTCTTGTGTTTAGGGTGACATATTGGAATTGAATGAACAAACAGGAACAAGCAAAACATCTCAGGGAATTTTTCCAAAAAATTGTTTGACCTGCAGACATCTCTGTTCCCACTCAATGGCAATAGACTGGGAAGTATGTAGAGCTCTAGGACTGCCGTATGGGGTCAGCCTAGTTTTTAGGGGATAGTTGGGAGGCTGAGGTCCATTGTGAAGGATCAGCAATTTAAGTATACAAGTAGATAAATTAATTATCTCTAGGTAAAAGGGCTCCGTGGTGCATCAGCAACTTCACAGCAATAGCTTCTGTGCAGGCTTTTATCATGTGGTAGATGTACCTAAACTATGATATTGTAGCTATCTTTCATTGAGGGCTAAGAGGCTGTGGGTTGGCTTTCACCTACCATAGGGTAAGAATAAGCACACATCTCTTCAGCTGATAGTAATTGGTTTAGCCCCATTCATATATCCCTGCCTAGATCTGACCATCAGAATTCCCAAACATACAATCACCCCTCAGTAAGTTTTCCAAACCCCTTGCACTGAATCGTTCAGTTATGAAAGATTCCCAAGCCACATCACTCATGTTCCACAATCAGCAAATTCTTCCTTCATCACCTTATTTCTCCATCTCCCCACATATTTGCAAATATAGAGTGTTTTTGCAGTGCATCTCGAAGGTTAAGAATTTAAGATTTTGGACTGTGAAGGAAAGGGCATTGTATGGCATCAGCACACTCTCTCCTGGCAGAGGGATCTCCAAATGGAGTACTTTGACTCATTTGTAACTACAGTACCAGCAGGATGAAGCTGCCTGTCCAGTAACCTAGGCAGTAGCTTAACTAGAGGTTAAGCTGCCAATTTAGAGGGTACACCAGATTGGTGGCCCCCAGGAAGTCTGTGCCATGGCAGTAGAATGGGAAGTATTCTCTCTGGTGGTCAGCACTTCCACTCTGCTCAGGGCGCCAAATTCCTAGCTCCACTCATGGCTTTGAAGGTCAAAGTGTCCTCCTTGTATTCCACCCAGGAGTCCACGCAGCCAGTGCAGCACATGGACCACTAGTATTTTGCGCATCCCATGAAAATGCCCCCTAGTAGATGGTCTTCCATATTTTGGGCTGATGGCAGATTTTGAATGGTCCCGTGGTTCTGCCCCATCAGAGCACCGATATGGTGGTGTAATTTTGGGAGGAGAAAGGCAGAAGATAGGATATAGAAACTATGACATAATGGTTAAATGATCTGCCCAAGATCACACAGGAAGTCTGTGGCAAAGCTCAGGCCTTCTCATTCCTGAACTATGTATTATCCACAAGACTGTCTTTGCCCCACATTTCAAGAAAGGCATGGACAGTTTGGAAAGAGTCCAGTGCAAGGCAACAAAAACAATTAGGGGCCTTGGGAGGCAAGAAAGAACTAGGGCTGAAAGAACTATGGCTATTTAGTCTGGTGAAGGGAAAAGGGGGAAGGTGGGGATTGATAACAGTCTTCAGGTACATGAAGAGTGACTTTTATGAAGAAAATGGAGATGAGGTTTTCTTTGTGGCTGTAAGGGACAGGACTAGGAGCAACAACTTCAAGCTGTTGCAGGGAAAATTTAGGCCGGAGATTAGGAGGAATTTTTTAACTTAGAGTGTTCAATGATCAACTACCTAAAGAATTTGTGGAATCTCCATCCTTGGAAACTTTCAAAAGCAGATCAGACAGATGCTTGGCTTGCATGGCTTAGTCAGGGATGATCCTTGCTTGAGTAGGGGGCTGGACTAGATGGCCTTGTGAGATCCCTTCCAGCCCAGCTTTCCTATCATCTAGTCCAATTCTCTGGCAGAAACATTTCTGCATAAACTATCTCAGACAAATATATGGAAGTTAAATGAAGATTAAACAAGAACAGAGATTCTCCATCTTTCATTGTAGTCTGTTTCAGTCCTTAACCACCATCATAGAAAGTCCTTCCTGATATCCAGGGATCCTGGTTTTCTCTCATAAAAAATTGCAATTTTTCTGATAAAACATCCAGAATCCGTGATTAAAATGAAACAGTGCTTTACATATAGGTATCAACTGAACACAATGTGTTTTAGTGATACATTTTCAATGTTAAAGCAATTTGGAAGCCTACCAGTGCCTCAGTCACTATAACAACACAGCAGCATCCACATGTTTCTCCATTAAAATGAAAAAATCCTTCTTTTTCTCAGGTAAAGAGAAAATCTGCTGTTATTTCTGTTTTTTTATGGGAAATGGAAAACCTGGATCTCTGCTCATATCCAACATAAATCTGCCCATCCAACATAAATCTGCCCTTTGTTGGACAAAGAAAGCAGTTGATTACCATCCTCTGTACAACAACCCTTTCTGTATTTGAAGACTGTTATTACATCTCCCCCTCAGCCTTACATTCTCCAGGCTAAATAGTCTCACTAATCATGATCGCTGTCCTTTTGAACACTTTCCAATTTGTTGGTGCCTTTCTTGAAGTGTGGTGACCAAAACTGGATACAGTATTCCAGATGAGGGCTCATAAGTGCTGAATACTGATGTACATGTAACAGCCCTCTTCAATATGTTCCAGGAGGCTATTAGATGTTTTTCCTAGTGTTATTTCATTCTACTTTTTAGTCCACTATAAATCCTCAAATCTTTTTCTGCAGTAATGCAGCCTAGCCAATCATTCCCCATTTTGTATCTGTGCATGTGATTGTTCTGTCCTGAGGGCAGTACTTTGCTCTTGTCTTTTATTGAATTTCAGACCATTTTTTTCCAGTTTGTCAAGGTCATTTTGAATCCCGATCCTGTCTTCCAAAATGTGAGCTATTGCTGCCAGCTCGTTATCCACAGACTTATTAAAGCAAGTGCTCAATTCTGTCCTTCAAGTCATTAAAGATATACTAAGACAGACCCAAAGCAAGCATCCCCTGGGGAAACAATGTAAGAAGGCAGAATAGTTTTGTAAGAAGAATGAAGAGTGAAATCCTTTCTACTGAAAGGGTTGTTAATTTTTTTTAATATTATTCTTGAAGTTAAAATATTACAATGTGATTTTTGTAGCCATATTCAAGTATTGCTCAAATCTGGTACTTAGTAACTTCATCATTCAGAGTGGTGACATTGTTGAGTAAATTATCTCTTGTTGACTTTATGCAGAAAGGGCAGGCTTCTGAGGCTTGATTCTCCACTCTCATGTCCCTTGGGTAGTCATTTACGTGTGCAAAAGGAGCATTAAATTCTACTGGGCAAATTTGGTAACTTTTTTTAACATGTATTATATTGGTGTATGTAAGATACAGAGCGTTGGAAAATCTAGGCTTCCTGTATTCCCATGCAAGAAGCCAAATGTAAGAGCTCTACTGGTGTTATTGATAATGACTGTTCCATACGTAACTGATCGCCCTAACTGGGAGGCTGACACCGATGATGAGGAGAGTCTGTACAGAAGACAGGCTGGTTAGAAAAGGTGGTATTAGGTGCCAAAGGCTTTTACAGTGCCAGTGAACTAATGTATAACTAAAGGTATGATCCTGTGAAACCTTATTCCAGTCATGTCTACAAACACAGTTGCACTGAACTAAATATGATATAAACCATGTCTAAATTGGTATAAGTGTGGCCACATAGGGTGCACTGTTGTAACAAAATTAGTGTGAGTTTGTGTGTAGAAAAGGCATTCAGAGGAGGAAAACTGGACCTAAGTGAGGGATTTTTTTCAGGTTTGGTCATTAGATTATTTTATTTCTGGGACAGAGACTCTGCTTATTATTTGCAAAGCATTATGTGAACAAATGGCACTATGCTAATATCCTAAATAGGACATTACCTCAGTGTATATTAATTCCCAGAACTAAGTTATTTTGAAACTAAAGTGGGTGGCAATTAAACTGGGTACAGCACATTTATTAAATTGAATTGTTTATTGATTAAGTTAGCATGTTAGTATCCTAACTTACTGTCTTAGATAATTTTATTACTGGGTCTCTCTCCAAAACTTTGGATGGAACTAATTATTCTATCCATAGGTTTAAATGGCTGACATTGCACTTTTAGTTTTGTAGTAAAAGCATTGGATCGGTATTGATATAGAGAAAACTGGCTGTATTGGATATCAGCCCAATGGGGCCAATAATTTGGCCGATAAATGCCCATGCTGCGTGCAGCCACAGTGCAGTATTCAGGCAGCAAGGCACGCAGCTGGCACCATGGAGAGCTGCCTCCATCTGATAAGTCTGGCGTGGTAGAAGGGGAGAGGGGAGGTTAGGGGCATGGGTGGGGGGAAGATCAGCGCCCCTTGTGGTGAAGGAGGGGGCAGGGGCAGGTGCTGCTCAGCTGGGGTGGGACAGGGCACAGGACAGACCTGTGGCTTGTTTGTGGTGTGGCTCCTGCTGCTTGCACCCCAGGGGAGCAGGGGGGAGGGGCACGTATCCTCCAGATCTGTGCGGGATGGGACAGAGCAGGCTGCAGTCGGGGCTGCATTGGGGCTTTTCTCGGCAGGGGTTGGGCTCGGAGCAGGTGTTGGGAAGATGCTGCATCCGCCCCAAATTTTGCCACTGCTGCCAGCCACTCAGTGCAGCCTTGACTCAATGCCCTGCCTCTACCCATGCACTAGGAAGAGCTGAGGCTGTGTCAGCGACTGGCGGCGGCGTTGGGAATGGAGTGGTGGTGAAATATAGGGTGCATATGGCATCCTCCCAGAGCTGCCGACACCCGCTTCAAGCTCACTCCTGCCAAGAAGAGCCCTGGCTCCACTGCACAGGTCCCCCGCTCTCCCAGGGTGTGCTCAGTGGCAGGAGTCACTCCCTGCCCCAACGGGCAGTGCCTGCCCCTGCCCCCTTCATCACCGTGGGGGGCATTGATTTGCCCCTCCAAGGCCCCTTCCCTCCTTGCTCCCCTTCCACCGCACTGGGCTTACCAGCTGGAGGCAGCTGTATCAGTATGGGCCAATATGTCTCCTTAAATATCAGCTATCGGTATCAGCCCCAAAAATCTCTATCGGTGTACCTCTAACAGTCAAATAGCAAGAACATTTTGAGATGACTAATGAGTCTACAGGCGTTTTGAAAAAACTTGATTTAAACTTTTCTAGCATGTCATGTTGTCACTGTTGGTAATGAAACCCACGCTGGACTTTGTTCCCTGGCCCTGGAAGCTGATCCATGCGGGCTCTTGTCATATGGAACCCCACTCTGGACTTGAGTGTGGCCCATGTTTCCATCTCACACATGAAGTTCTTTGCTTTAAGCTCAGAAACCTTGAGAATTGGGTTTTTCATTACAATTGCGTAATGTTTTAAGAATAACACTGTCAACAAGTAATTAGGGGAAAAGGTACGCTTTACTATTCTGTAAAATAGTACCTATGCTAGTTACTTGCAACTATTCTGAAGGAGCAGTATGGAAAAACAGGATCGATCCATTACATTACAATTAATCAAATAGCACTATATGTCAGTACAGATGTATAATGATGTAATGGAGTAGCTTATTGTAATGCATGTTTAATCCTCGTGAATGTTATACTGACCCCCAAAGGGGAAGTGTTATGCTTGATGGAAGATCCTTTGTTCTGCATTCTTTGTATCCCTCTTCCTCTTTTCGAGTAAACTTGTAGTTGGACTTGGAGTGGTTTTGCATTCGTGATCATGTCTGGGTTTTATCTATTCATAATACACACCTATATCTGCCATAGAAAGATTTGCAATGGAAGTTTTTCATTTTATGACTTGAACTTCTGTGTGTGTGAATAGTGCAGTTCTCACACACTGGATGTATATGTTTGTCTCTGCAGTGCTTCCACCTCCCACTCGGACCAGTCAGTACACACAAAATCTGCTTCTGTCATATCATCTGATTCAGTCTCCACCTCCACAGACAACTTTTCTCCAGATCTCAAGGTATGTATGTCTCTTGTTTTTAAATTATGACTGAAAAGAGGGGGAAAGATGATTTTCCAGAAGCTACAGCTAGTGCAAAATGCAGCAGCCTGTCTTCTAGCAGGGATGGCTTGCCAGGAATGCATTACTCCAGTACTCCAGAGTCTACACGGGCTTTCAGTAATTTTCCAAATGTAATTCAGGGTGCTGATTTTGACCTGAAGTGCCATAAATGATCTGAGTGGAGATCAGACCCATTTGATATTGATAATGTAGGATTAGGTTTTCAAAGACTGGCTACCCCTCAGGGATTGTGGCAGATTTTTCAAAATACTGTGACTTCTCTTTAGGTGCCTAAATAAGAGAAGACTTAGCAACCACCAGTTCCCACCTATACACATCGCCCTTTATTTTGGTGCCAAAATGGGAGCTGATCTCTCTTAGAAACCTAGTTCTGACCATGAGGCCTGAACTCTTGAAAAATCTGAGTGTTTTGTCTTTCTTAAAAAAGACTACATTTCAGTGTTTCCTAAAAATACTAGCTTACACTCTGCTTATGCCCTTGCCATAAATAATGCTTAAATACAAAATGTTAGTGTGGAAGGCCTAAAATCAAACAGGTAAATCCATAATTTAGAAATCTCATTACACGGTTCTGCAATGCTGAAAGTCACCTACAGGCTGCTCTTATTACTGTAAATGCGATATGCAGGTGCTCAGCATTTTTTGAAAATTGCACCATTTAATTAGGTGCTTAAAATTCAGGTGCCAGTGTTTTAAAAATGTTGGCCGTGGTATGCTCTAACAACACCTTTTTAGCATTTCTTTCAAATGGTTACACATTTGTTTAAACCCGGGGGGGGGGGCATGGAAGAGCCTGGAAAGGCTTTCATAGCGTGACCACATATGCTTTCACTGTTTTAGCACTAAAATTTACACTTTATGACAATAGTTCCTAGGGTCTCAAATTGGGATTAGGGTCTATTGTACTAGGTACTCTGTGAACCTATATTAAGTTGTAGTGAGAAGAGCTAAGCCAAAACATTAAACAAAACCCCATGAGTCAACCCCCAAATACAAAGTGATTTTTTAATATATCTATATTATTTTTAAGCCATTCTCATTTTATTAGCTTTTCTGTCTTTAGCGTCCTGTTTCAAGGTTTCTTCTGAAATCATGAATACTAAGACACTTTTTTTTTTTATGGAAGCTGATATTCTCACATGATCAAAGAACTCTAGAAATACCAAAATAAATATCACATACTCACCATAAAATAGCAAAAGTCTGCAACACAGACATTTATAAATCCTTTTTCTAATTTATGCTGTGGATTGCTTTAATTTTCTATTTGGCAAGTGTAACTTTTTTTTCCTAAGGACTGGTATCTTTTTTAGTTTATAGTTTACAGAAAGTCTTCTAACTCTGGTGTTCTAAGAAAGTTTCCATTTGAAGGTATTTTACAATGAGTATTCATAGCACCTTGTAGTCTAACATTAGACTCCGGTTTGAAAATTAAACATAAATTTATGTTTAACTGAATAATTTGTACCTCTTAAGTACCTTCATAATGAATTAATCATCATCATATGCTTGTGTGAACAAGTATACAACTTCCTTCTAAAATAGGGATGTTGAATGATTTACTCAAAAGTACAGGGGAAATAATTTTCAGATGTCCTGATTCCTGGTTTTATGGCATAGACCAGTGATTCTCAACCAGGGTGTTGCAAGATCGTTTTAAGGGTGCCCTGGGGTGCTAGTACTATTAGATGTGAAAACATGATTTACAGTATAAACCTAGAGATTCCAAGTAGCATTCCATAGCATTACAAGAATGTTGCCCTGTTGCGGTCTTTTTGAGCTTTTTGCAACAGAAGAATTGCTTTAATATTATTTCTGTAGTCAAAAAAGACTGAAAACTAAGAGCTGGTATTTTCTGAGGGGTGACCTGAATCTAAAAAGGTTGAGAACCCACTGGTTTAAACCTTACCTAATTGTAAATGATAAATGATGTAAATATAAACTTTATTTATTAGCATTAGGTCTTTCTTTGAACTAAGAGCATTCAGTTCCCACTTAAATTGAATGGTGGGTGTGTTTGTTCCTAGGCTAAGAGCATGGTGATATTTGTAGAAAGAAAGAAGAATGACAGAAGCAGTGATGGGGAAAAAGGATCGTGGACACTTCCTTCAATTGAAAGAATCCTTTTGATCAATTGATTTCCTCCACACTCCCTCTCCCCTTCCCCCCCGCACCTAAAGATGTAGTAAAAACCTCTTGATACCTTGGAGAATATCTTCTAGCAATTGAAGATCAAGCAGTAAATTAGTAAAATGGTGCAATTCTCTGGTTCAGTCCCTCTAGAGTGTCCACTGTCTTCATTACCCATTAATAGAATTGAATGCTGAAGGTGTGCTGTGCCTTGTAAGATCAGGCTTCCTAGTGGTATGGCTGTAATGAAGCCGGCATCATAAAATGAGGAAATGATCGGTAATCGTCAAAACAGCCAGTCTTGTTTCAATTCATACTACATTCAGTTCACTGTGTTGGGATGGCTCTAGAGAGCACATTTTCCTAATATTTCCTTGTCAAAACATCTATTCTTATGGAAGGAATTCTGCATCTGTATCTAAGTCTTAGAATGTGAAATTTTATTTATGTGTTGGTATCTTTTCATCTCCTGGATCTTGCTAACTGACCTTTTGTTTTCTAGCTGCTCTTCTTAGAAATACTTACCAGAACTGGTGTGGTTTCATTGTATGTCACTACCCTCAACAGCTGTGCTGGCATGTATTTCCTCACAAGATTCATAAATCACTACTTGTTTGGTTCTTAGTCTTTTACCACTAAAAGAAAATAGAGCTTCCTCCTGGCTCACTCCATTAAAAAGTGCAATATGGCAAAGGGGTTAAATTTGCTTTCTGAATAGGTTTGGAACCAGTAAGCCTGAGCATATTTTAAAAGAACTTAGCTTCATTCTCAATTTTATTTTTTGTTTTTGTTTTGTGTAAATTAGCACCTTCTACAATGGCTAGAATTAAATGCACTTTTTGGCTCTTCAAAAAGTAGGTTCTAAAGGTAACTTCTGTGCCTTACTACTTTACATTTGTTCAGCTATACTTCCTTTTGGTTCATTTTCTTCTAAATAATCCCAATTCCTCCAGATAACCGTGGAACTAACAAGCAGGTTTTGCTGTCATGCTTTTTTCTATCCCTGTCCCTGCAGATGCCTGTTTTTTCTGCTTATCTCTGAGAATGCTTTAGACCATATATCCATGGTCAACTTACCATGCTCTACAGGGGTATCATAAAGCATGCTGCATTGCTCTGGTTAGAATTAATAGCTATATCTGTGCAGCAGACTAATTAGTCTAGTCACTCAGCTCACCCAGAATGTCTTACAGACATGCCTGCACTGTTTCTGATTCAGATAGCAGCCCCCCTTCCGCCCCACCTTCCCCTTGTAGTACAGTGTACATGAGGATGCCATTCCAGATGGTTGATAACCTTCCCATGTAGACATGGCCTTTCAGAACTCTTGGAAGACTGGTGAAGTTCCAGAAGACTGGAAAAATGTAAGCATATGCCCCTCTCTAGAGAAAAAGGGTGGGGAAAGAGCATCTAGGGAATTAGAGCTGTCTCCCTAGCTTCAGCTTCCATAAAAATTTGATTATTTGTCCCAGAATCTATTTATGAGCACTTAGATGACAACAAGGTGATAAATAACCACCAACATGGATTTGTCTACAACAGACTTCGTCCATTTCCTTTTCTGATGGGGTAATGCTATTGTGGATAGGGGAGGAAGAGTACATTTTATGTGCCTGACCTTAGTAAGGCTTCTGATACCATCTCAAATGACATTTTCGTAAATAAGGGAAGGAAAAATGGTCCAAATGAAATGGTCGCTGATTCAGTTTGGAAGAGATTCAGCCCAATTCAGCGGCCAAATTTCCAAATCAAATCAGGAGACCCATTAATCTATCCAAATTGAATGAGAAGACTCCAAATCGGTTTGGAGAGATTTGACGATTTGGCCATAGACACAGCTTTATATGTTTTTTTTTTCTACATACCTCGAGGTACCAGGTGTGGCTTGTGAATGCTGAGATGGTGGAGTGGATGACCCCATGGAAATGGAGCTTTATGTCTAAGTAGGAAATATTAAAAGTTTAGGAATGGAAAAGAGCAGAGGAGTCAGCTGCTCCTTGCTGTCCTTCTCTGTTCCCACCAACAAGAACAGATGGGGACTTGACTTGTTTGTTTTCTTTGTCTATTATCTGGAAGGGAGTGTTCTGTTGCTATGAAGGTGGCATCCTGATTGCCAGTGGTTAGAGATGGTTTAATACCTGAAACAGGAGGCTACTCCCCCTCACAACAAAAGTTATCATCGGCATGAGCTCTGTATGTTCTTGTGAGAGTCACTTGAATTATTTTAGAAGCTGAGTCAGGGGCTTGCAAATTCCTTACCAAAAAGTACATAACACTTGTTTATATTATCAGAGTTCCCATAGTTTGTGACTTATGTTGTAATTTGATAAAATAAAACAGTGTTCTGTACTTTTCACAGGTTTTTATTGAGAGGATTAAGTAAACATAGCACTAAACTAATTTTCTACAATTTCATGAAGCTAATTAAGGGTGGAATGATACACTGATCAAACTGAGGGCATAATTAAAATTAAATCCCTAGGGTTAAATTATTCAATCACCAAATAAATGCAATAGGAAATCAAAACAAGTTATGAGGTTGACACTAGGGCTAATTACAGACAGTCAAAATGCCCGAGGCTGAATCGATTCAGTGTTTGCAGCTTAGTCTAAGATGAGAAACGATTTAGACAGACATTCGCTTTTGATGCAGGAAATGCAGCCATATACCTGCAGTGGCTCAGGCAAGAAGCCAGGGGACACTAGAGCACAGCTCTCTGGCACGTAGCCAGCATGGACTCTGTGTTCATTTCCTCTTCCTGCTGCCCCTGAGGTCTCTGTGATTTGCAGTCCAGAATTACAGCAGC